CGGAGGTTTGCTCCTGGGGTGATTTGTACGGCTGGACCAAACAAACAGAGCAATCTGTTTTCAGCTTTGAGCTCCTCAGGGGGACACATCTACCAGAGAGGGACCTTCCTCAGGCTATGTACTTGTCGCAGCACAAAACAGATCTCTAGTGCAGTATTAGGATGATTAAAAATGATGAAGCTATGAAACAAGTCAGAACCTCACTCGAGGCAGAACTGGTAAAAGAATGAGCAAAACCTGTCGTGCCAGTGGAGCAAAAGGAGATGAGACTTGCAGTGTTAAAATGGACTCGATTTCAAATAGGGGAAAAAACTTTTGGTGGTTTCTCATGCAGTAAAATGGAGTCTGAAAACTATTTGGTAGACCGGAGTGAATGTGAGGTGAGAACAGGAGACAGTGGGAAAAGGGGCTTTGGTTTATTCATCAGATCATAGACTCATAGAAAAAACTAGTTTGGAAAAGACCTTTTAAGATCCTGAAGTCCAACCATTACCCCAGGACTGCCAAGACCACCACTAAACCATGTCACTGAGGGCCTCATCTACATAGTTTGTGAACGCTTCCAGGGATGGTGATTCCACTACTGCCTTGGGCAGCCTGTGCCAACGCCTGAGCGCACTCACTGTGAAGAAGTTTTTTCTTATATCCAGCTTAAACCTCCCCTTGTGCAGCTTGAGGCCATTTCCTCCTATCACTTGTTACTGGGAGAAGAAACTGACCCCCACCTCACTCCATTCTCCTTTCAGGCAGTTGTAGAGAGCAGTAAGGTCTCCTCTGAGCCTTCCCTTCTCCAGAATAAACAACCCCAGCTCCCTCATCCATTCCTCATCAGACATCTGTTCCAGACGCTTCACCAGCTTTGTTGCCCTTCTCTGGACCTGCTCCAGCAACTCAATATATCTCTTGTAGTGAGTCAGTTCAGGCTGGAAGTAAAGATCCTGTGATGTAAAAGAGATTAAGCCCAGGCTTTTCTATATGGTAAAGACACGGGTCTCATCCAAGAATGATGGTTATTCTTTCAGTGATGAAATGAATTCAGGTGTAGCAGAGACATCCATAATTATTGGCATCTACCTGTAATAACACATTCACAGCAGGAGCTGCTTTTCTCCAGTTTGCAGGAGCTGCTTTTCTCCAGTTTGCACTAGGGTTATTACAGCTGCCAGCAACTTTTTATATTCAAACCACTTGAGGCTGAACATCTTAAATACATCTGCACTTGATTTCTTATGTACAGTGAATTAATGTTCTTTGTACTTACTAAAAATGCCTTTTTTATGGACTGAGCTCCATAGTTCATATGGACACAGTCCACAGTCAGTATGTTGTATGACCAAATTAAACCATGTGTAACCTTTCTGGGCATTTCATGCTAGAGACCAAGCACAAGAAGAACTATAGTCTTCAAGTTACTGAAACCAACAGAAACCTGCTGAAGACTAAGAAATGTCAGTTGACATGTATGAATCAACAACTAATACCAGAGCAATGCAAGTGCAAAGTCAGAACTGTACCAAGGACCAGAACAAGCTGAAGTGGCTAACAGAAAGAAGAATGTATTTTAAGAAAACAGACTGAAGCATAATTATGTGAATAAAGATAATAGTATGATGATTTTAAGATAAAAGTTCACCTTCCACTTTACTGCAAACTACCCAAACCCTATCTCCACCCCCTGTGGATCCTGCTTTATGCAGCTGTAAGGTTGTGTCGACTCGGAGACAGCATAGAAGTGGAACTCGCTACAGAACATCAACTTTCTGTCTTGTGCAGGTCACCCTGACCCAGAGCAGAGGGAGTAATACGTGGCTGCTGCAGGAAGGACTGAGTGTCGGTGATTCTAATTACAGCTGCAGGCTGTAATTAGATCTTATTAGATGACCAATAAAACTGCACGCTTGTTCTCCTTCCACCCCAAGAAATCACCTTCTGTTGATGAAATACTCATGCAAAATGTCTGTCAGGATTATGTGATTTGTGAGTCATTTTTCTTGGTAGTTCTATTGAGAGTGGTTAGTACTGGGAATTGAAGCAATTACAGGATTCTGGGTTTGAGAGCAGCACTCACAGATGCATCTGTTCGAGCTCAGATGTTACCAGAACATTTCTGTATTTCCAGCCAAGACAACAGAAGTGGCTCTCCACTACCTGTTCATTTACTCTCACTGTCCTGGCAACAGTGAAGAGCTCAACGTATTTGCATTTCTCTGTTGGCGTAAGAGCTATCTTTTGTTGCTTACTTTACTGTAAATGAGAAGGGATTGCTGTGGAGAATGATTTTTTTGCTGTGGCCTTACTTTCCAGCTTTACAAAACAATCTGTTTTTCTCTGGTTTGCATTTATGTGCGTTCTTGAATTTTGTTAAGGATCTTCTTTGCAGAATAAGAAACATCCAGCTTCACTTGTAAAGCACTGTCAAGATGACTACTATGAAACATCTTCTCATAGAATCATAGAGTGGTTTGGATTGGAAGGGACCTTCAAGATCATTTAGTTCCAGCCCCTCTGCTGCAGTCAGGGACATCTTCCACTAGACCACATTTATGTTGCTTAAAGCCCCATCCAACCTGTCCTTGGACAATGCCAGGGATGGGGCATCCTCACCTTCCTTTGGCAGCCTGTTCCAATGTCTCAACACCATCGTGGTAAAGAATTTCTTCCTAATAATCTAATCTGAATCTCCCTTCTTTCAGTTTAAAGCTGTTCCCCTTGACCTGTTCCTACAGGCCCTTGTTAAAAGTCCGTCTACAGCTTTCTTGCAGTTCCTCTTTAGGCACTGGAAGCTACTCTAAGGTCTCCCTGGAGCCTTCTCTTCTCCAGGCTGAACAACCCCAGCCCTTTTAATGATTTAAATCTGACAGTAGCAGATATGAACAGGCTGAAGAAAGAATTTCTAAAATTCCATAACAACTGCACAATGAGGAAGGGCACCAGAGAAGAGTTTGGAGTTGAGCGGACTTTGATCTTAGCCCTTCTCCAGAAGCAGCTTCACTCAGCAAAATGCTGACAAGCAGCAGCTGGTAGGGCAGTGATGTGATGATGGAATAACCAGAAATGGTTGGCTGAACTCCAGGGTATACAAAATAAATCACTTGGTGAAGACTCTGCCAATCGTGCAGAAGTAGGTGTCACATGTGTGCCACCTTAAGAGGCAGACCCATAAAACACAAGAGATGCCCCCAGTTCATAGTAACGACTATCCTGGCAGCATGTGCATCAGGACCAGTATATATAAGGAGGAAATTCTTTCCTGTTAGGGTGGTGAGGCACTGGAATAGGTTGCCCTGGGAGGTTGTGAATGCTCCATCCCTGGCAGTGTTCAAGACCAGGTTGGACAAGGCTTTGGGTGATACGGTTTAGTGTGAGGTGTCCCTGGCCATGGCAGGGGGGTTGGAACTGGATGATCTTAAGGTCCTTTCCAACCCTAACTATTCTGTGATTCTATCTGAGGTATCAGACCTATTGGTTACATACCACATAACTGACCAGCATGTACTGCATGAATGACCCTTGCTGTCCATGGACAGCACCAACTGAAACATCAGTGTGTTACCAGCATTGTCCTCAGACTAAGGCCAAAACACAGCACTGCACCAGCTACCAGGAAGAAAACTAGCTGTACCCCAGCCAAAACCAGGGCAATTGAGAAGGACGATTATATGAAACTGTAATTATTCAGAATTAGAGCTTTAAAGCAAGAGGCCACTTGCATGAAAAGCTGTAATTGTTGTGCATATGTCAGTGGGTGTGTGAGGGAATACAACTGTTCTTCATGTGGGGATTTCTTTATATTGAGAAGTTGGGTGGTTAATTCATTTTTCTGACAAAGTAGTGCAGTGCAGCTGTATGTTTTCAAGACTGATCACAATGAAGAACTCTGCAGATGTTTTCCCTGTATTTTTAATAGATGTTAAAAAAATAGCCTAATTTCAGAGCAGCAGAAAAGTATATCATATATACTGCTGAACCCAGGACAATATGTAATCCATGAATTGGAATTTCTCTAAGGATCAAGGACCAAGAACAAGCTTAAGAACTTTAAAATGTTATGCAGCACATCATGAAAGTTCATGCTGATGGCACCCTGTATTTATAGAGCGTTCAAAGGGATGTTTAGCAATATTTTCTCTCTATCTCAGCAGGAAGATTGTAAAATAATTTGTTTCATTAATACATAATTAGGGAATGAAAGGCAGTAGCTATTATGTTCTTTGCAGTCTGATAGCACAGAGTGTTTAAGAGGGCACCTCTCTGGGGTCAGAGCTGTAATGCCTGAGAAGTCCAGGCTGTAAAGTTATTTGGTCTTGAGGAATACAGGCAACATACCGGATTACATACAGGAATGCAGTGCATACAGGGGACACAGTCTGCCCCAACAGCTACATCTGTAAGCACTTTGTCCCCTTTCTGTTTTCGCTGCAAGGTTGGAACTATGTTGTCTGTTTTCCTACCATTTTATTTCTTAGATAGAACACTGATTTTTTAATGCTTTATCAAAAAGTTTTCCTCTTTTTCTTACTAGAGTGGGCAAATGTTCAGTCAGTGATACCCATAATCACAAGTCAGCTGACTGTGACAGAAGGAAGGAAAGGGAAAGGCTAACTTCATGTTTTTAAAATCCCAATCCTCACACCAGCAGTGAGGGAATTTTGTGGTTTTCTCTGATTTTGAAGATCTGTTCCTAGACATTTCCTACCCATGCCTTACTGAAGACAGCCAAATGCTTACCCAAGCAACTACAGGCATATATAGTCCTCACGCTTGCAGTGTGAAGGTGGAGACGTAGGAGTATAGTTAATAGACAGCAGGCAGGCTGCAGGTACTGGGAAGGGAAGCAGAGGATAAAGAACCAGAAGGCAGAGGTAGGGGGAGAAGCATGTTGATATTTCAGTGGCATTTGTGAAAAAAATTAAACTCTTTTTGTACAGTTACACAGCATTGAACAGGAAATCAGCCTCTCTAGTGTCTATCCCCAACAGTTTCTTCTCTTTACAGCAGACCTACTATGGATCCCAGAGGCCATTTCTCTGTTGTTTGTTTGCTCTGTGAGCAGTTTGTTTCTACATAGCTGGAGCTTAGATTCATCCAGAAGGCAGCCAACTCTTCAAGTTCAGTATGGAGCAATTCTGAAGCAAGAGGTGCACTAACTCCATGAACAGGAAAGCAGCTTATATTTATGAATTCCCTTGAGGTGGAATTGCAAATTCCACATCAACTGTGTCCATGCACTAGAATTTCAGAGCAAGTGAGCTCTCAAGGATAGATGGAAAAGACAACCCAGGGAACCAGAAGGGAACAGCAGAGACAGCAAATCGTAGAATCATAGAATAGTTAGAGTGGGAAAGGACCTTAAGATCCTCCAGTTCCAGCCCCCCTGCCATGGGCAGGGACACCTCACACTAAACCATGTCATCCAGGGCTCTGTCCTACCTGGCCTTGATCACCGCCAAGGATGGAGCATTCACAACTTCCCTGGGCAACATACAAACAAAAACCCCAAAACAACTTACTAGACATTAATTACTCCACATCAGCTTTGCTATGAGCAAACTTTTCCTACTGCTGAGCAAACCCAAGAGTTAATTGCCACATACTAAATTCCACATGACTTCATAACAAAAAACATTGCTTGCCAATAGAAGAGTTTTATATGTAGGCCATTTGACATCTATAAATGTCAAGGATAGGTAAAGTTTATGACTGAAAATTATGGGTTGGAAATAGCAGTAAAAATGGAGAGAACCTGTAATTACAGCAAAACTTGGCGGAGAGAAGCCACCCAGTTGACAAGTTCCATTTATCAAGTTGGTTGGTTTGTAAACCAGAGGTTGACTCTTTACACTGTAGGAGCATGTGATAAAAACTTCTGAAAATTCATCTCAAGGTACAGGTAAGTTTTTCCACTCAGTTCTATATATTTTCCCTGTCATCCACTTTCCAGGTTTCTTTTCAGTCTTTTCTGCATCTACCCTTAATTTTTCATTAGAAGGTGCAATGGCTTCTGAATCTTTAAAAACCAGAAAAAGTACTCCCAGACAAGTACTCTTTTGGGTCAGAGAACTGAATATTTTCCTCTCAAGTCCAGTCTTAATCTAGTGTCACTTCTCAGCTCTCACTTCACCTCCTTGATGAAACTGATCTTTACAGCGATTCACCCTGACCAGATGAGGGTACCAGAGGCCACTTTGTTTAGGTAACTTTTACTGTCTAAGCAAAAGCTCTTCAAGCAGGATAAGCACAATTGAAAAGCAAAGCCCAAGAATTTCTCAGCCAAAATACATAACAAATACAGAGCTAGGACTAGTAAACTGCTTGATTAAGCACATGCTCACAGCCCTGGGCAAGATGCCCTGCGGCTCTTTGCTTTTCAGAAGAGCATCAGTCAGGTGGGGAGAGGCTGATCTCCATTGCTCTGTGGAGCAGAGACATCCACAGTGTTGCTGAGCTGCATCTTGTTGTAGGCATATAGTGAAAAAGTTGGAGCTTGTATTACTATGGAAAAGCCTGAACAAATACAAAGACCTCCTAAAAGGTCAGGATGATCTGAAAACAACACTGACTAATGAAGAGAACTGGTACCCGTGGAGGAGGCTTTGGGCTTGTGTAGGCAGATTAAGAAACAGGCCCAATGAATCTCTAATCAGGAGAGACTGTCCTTGAAGACTGGTACATCTTGAAAACACATGGACATCAATCAGCAAGATATAACTTTGGTGCATCAGCACCACATGATTAGGGAGTCCTTTAGGGAGTCCCATTATTAGGGAGTGTTTTCATTATAGTCTCATTCTAATGCTGAAAATCTACAGGTCAAAAGACTCCTGCTTGAGTGAAAAAACTCTTCCCTGAGCATGCATGGCAAGGAGTCCATGATGTAAACTTACTCAGTGAGCTGACCAGTTGTAAATGGTGGAAGGGTTATGGGGAGTTACCAACCTGAACTGAACTGTGTGTAAGTGTGAATTTTGCATGGGGTGATGTGCTAGCTTTGCGGGATACCACATAGCACACCTTTTTTTGTGCAAACTTGGAATAAACAGACACCTTGTCTCTGTGTGTGAATTGGCTGCTGCACACCTGGACAACATTCTGGCCTCCTGATTTGATTTTAGGATTTTACACTTTTTATATCAGAACTATCCTCAAATCCTTATGATGCTTTACAACTTCAACAGCTTCGCCTCTATTTGTTACTTTTCTCTCTTGGTGAGGCTTTAAACCAGCTCATGTGGTTTTTCACATCTTAATTTTTCTTGATCAAAGTGACTCAAATTTACTCAGCTGTTCTACGTCAATCTTGCCCTTGGATGAGAGACACCCATGGCTCAAGCCTGCTGCACTGCTACAATTGCAAAGACAGCCACCTATCTCCACCCTTCTCTGCCTCAGCACCTTTAAACGGTGACTCGTGAGTGTCCTGCTCTAGCTCTATCTCTGCTCTAGCTTCTTCCGTGTATTTCTGTCAATGCGAAGTCCATATCCAATGCATCCTGACTCTTCTAGCTTAGAGCAGGTCCTTGGCCCCCAAATTTGCTCTTGTGCATATAAGACCAGTCTGGTTTTCAGGAATGCCAGCCTCTTTCAGCTCACTCAAGGCTAATGAGCAGAATCAAGCTCACAGGTGGTCCTTCCTGGCCTACCTCTTCCTTGAGGGAGTGAGTGATGTGTGGGGCAGGCAACGGACATCCTCCGTACAGCCACAGAGAGCAGGCTTTGTAGAGCTGCTGTCTGTATCCTCACTGCCCAGAGCAACGAGACATAAACATGGGCATAGGTGACTGGTGGAAGACCAAAAGGACTCACACTTTGTCTGGGTAATCTCTCTTCCTTTGCTCATTCACTGAAAGCAAGGAAAAAAACATGGTGGTTAGCAGGTACACTACAAGGACTGGTTGGATAAGTAGTGTCTCCATGAGCTCTCTACCCGTGGTAGAGCATGGTCATTGTCTACATGTTCTAGAGCCCCATTTTCAAAGTGTAGATGAATACTCCTGCATGAAACCCTTTTAGGAAGCACTGAATCATAGAATTGTAGAATCATAGAATGGTTTGGGTTGGAAGGGACCTCAAAGATCATCCAATTCCAACAACCTAAATGTGAAATCTCAGGGTGATTCTTAACATGGTGATTAGTATGTGGCAATTACCTGGTGTACAGTTTTTTTTTTAACAGGGTGTTTTTAGTTAGGATGATTTTCAAGAATGCTTTTTGTTTTCAGCTTCCATCAGTGCTGGAGAGATAGACACATTCTAGATTGTCCAGAAAGGATTTCAACAGGGCCCTAATATTGAGCTTTTTGTTCTGCAGATACAGAGATATTATAGTGTCCTGATTACAGAAGTACTTCTGGGCTAAGCCCTCAGTACTGAGAAAAAGAGAATGGAGCTGCTTTGACAATCAATACATAAAGCAGATTTTACAAGACTCAGGCTTTAGACTTCCTTGTTTTAAACTCTCAGGCTTGGAAAAAGCCCACACAAAGTCCTAAAAGGTAAGAAAAGGGGTTAAGTATGGATTTAAGTATGATTTGATAAGATGAAGACTGATCTGTATGGTGCAGTCACGTGTACAATGCTGGCTCAAATGAGAGCTGTAGTTTTTGACTTGGTAAAGTTCCCTGTGAAAAAGAAATATCTTGGGGGTTTTCTTCTTTTCTTTGAAAGGCATGGGCACAAATCCTACTGCTGTGTTGCTGTGTTTCTTTCTAAAGTCAGACTGTTTTCTATTGTCTCAAAAGCTGAAGTGACCAATAGAATATTGTCACTGTTTACTTCCATACATGTAATTGTCATCTATTTTATACAGAAAGTATTTCGACTACTTTTCAATCCTACAACAGCTGAAGTAGGGATGCCTAAGCAGCGACCACACTGAGGCTGAATCTCCACCTCCAGAAGCTCTACCGTGTAAGTGAAGCTTCCCTGTAAACCCCATTGCAGACCAACCCGCTGGCGTTTCCCGAGCAGGCTTTACTTGTGGCTCGTACCCCCCTCTTGTGGGGATTTCCTAAATTACAAGCCAGAACTCCCTATGTCATCTCCCAATGAGGTCTGACGCACAGCTGCCCTGCGAAACGGGCCAAAGCTGTCAGGCGGGAGTTGATTCAGTAAAAGAATTTAACTTATTTTCAGTTTAATCACTGATTTCTGTTTATTGCGACGTCTCAGTCTGAGTCTTTAGCGTTTTATTCTGCCTTTGAGTTTTAAGTACTTGATGCATAATTTTTGTAAAAGAACTAATGGGTTCATCTCATGCTTTATGTATTTTTAGGGACACAGTTCTTTGAAGCTCTCTTGACACTTTAGCCGATATAAAATGAGGGACTGTGTCATGGAAAGAAGCAATTGTGAAAATCACTAAACCTGCATATCCTTGACAGTGCTGTAGCAAGAGGTAATAAAGTGGTAATCATTGGATGTTATAAATCAGCAGAGTGAGTAGGAAAAGTAAAATGATTTGACTGCTGCCTATGGCATTACCAACAGTGGTACCAGAATGGCCTGTAGGAATCTGTGTTCTCAAGGGCAAAAATCAACCTTAAAAATTGGAAAAAAAAATGAGCAAAGAGCACCATAGCTGACTTTCTACACTGGAGAAAATGCATTTCACTAGGAGGTTTAAGAAATTCATTGCACTGAATTTGTCGAATAAATGAGTGAGAAATGGCTAGATTATAGCAGAGAAAGACCTTTGGGTAAAAAATCCCGTGTGCCAATGTTTTTTTTAATCAAGAAGCAGTGGCTGCCAACTGATCCAGAGTCATCCAAATGAGGAATAAGGCCCAAATGTTTCATGCTGAGTGTGATTATTGCCTGGCACCAGCTCTCAAAAGAGATCATAAAGCCATCTCTTTATGTCTGTAAATGAGGTGTCACGTATGTGTTTTAGCCAATGACAGGCTATGCTTTTATTCAACACAAGTAATTGGGTTAAATACAGAGGTAACCAGTCGACACAAAATGGTTTGTATTATATGTGAAAGTGTAAATGACTGTGTCCCCTCCTGGAACTTAATTTTATGAATCTGTATTCTCTCGTGGTTTCAAAACCAGCTGTTTACCAGTCAGGCAGGGAAATAGAGTTAATGAAGGAGTTCTCCTCATGCTCCTGAGATACCCTGTAGGCATCTATAAAATGCCAAGGGATATTAATTAATGAATTAGTAGGAAAAATCCCAAATGGAAAACATAAGTACTTGGCTGCAGCAGAGACACCTGTAAATGTCAGATTTGATGGTATAAGCAGAGTAGCAGGCGAGTGTATCAACATCCTCTTTGAAAATGCTAGCTGGTGGCCTTTAAGCAAAATGCAGCTTTGACTCTCAAAGGGAAAAATGAGTTTGTTCCTTCTTGATAGCTGACATAATGAAGATGAGTATGACTCTACCAGTGGAATGGCTGGGAAAAGGGAGGGACTGCTTCCTCCATGAACAAATACCTTAGCTTGTGAAGAGAGCTCCCAAACATACAGTAACTGCAAGATGAGAAAAACTAAACAAATACATCAGAACAACAAAGAAAAACCAAGAAAATGGGGACCTCTTCCATTTTATTGTCTACAGCATTTTTCTTTTACTAACATGTCTTCCCCATCTACTCCCTATCGTTACACTTTGAGCTTCAGTATCAAAAATCATAGAATGATTTGGGTTGGGAAGGACCTTTAGAGATCTAGTTTGAACCTCCCTGCCTGGATCAGGTTGCTAAAAGCCCCATCCAACCTGGCTTTGAACACTTCCAGTGACGGGGCATCCACAACTTTTCTGGGCAACTTGTTCCAGCATCTCACCACCCTCGTAGTAAACAGTTTCTGACTCATGGCTAATCTGAATTTATCCTCTTTTAGTTTAAAACCATTGCCCTTTGTCCTGTCACTGCAGATCTCATAAAAAGCCTTTCACCATCTTTCTTATAATCCCCCTTCAAGTACTGAAAGGCTACAATAATTTCTCCCTGGAGACTTCTCCATGCTGAACTCCAACTCTCAGCCTTTCCTCACAGGAGAGATGCTCCAGCCCTCTGACCATGTTTGTGGCCCTCCTTTGGAGCTGATCTAACAGGCCCATGTCTTTCTTGTACTGAGGACTCCAGAGCTGAACACAGTTACTTCAGGTAGGGTCTCACCAGATTGGGGTAAAGGGGAAGAATTACCTCCCTCAATCTGCTGGTCTGCCAGCATCCCTAAGTCATTCACTGCAGAGCTGCTCTCAATCACTTCATCTCCCAGCCTATATCAATGTGGGATTTCCCCAGCTCATGTGCAGGATCTTGCACTTGGTCTTGTTGAACTTCATGAGGTTCACATGGGCTCACTCTCAAACCTGCCAAAGTCAAGAAGCTCAGTTGGACTAGATGGTCATTGTAGGTCCTTTCCAACTGAAATATTCTATTCTTTTATTATTTTCTTTTTAACATCTTGTTACCTACACCACCTCTAGTCCTGCTGGCTGGGATGTTTCAAGAGAGAAAGCAGCAGTGTGTTGCTGGACAACAGCCTCTGTGCCAAAGCTGAAGTGCTTCTACTAAAAGCAGTATGTGTCAGTGGCATGAGCCTCATCCATTGCTATTTACCAAAGGGCCAAACACAGGCATCAAAAGGGACTGAGAGAAGGGCTCAGGGTGCTCTGGCAGGAGAGCCAGCAGCAGTAGGATTGGATAAGGAGGGATCACAGAGCCTGCCCCTCAGGGGAGTGGACGCAGGATGCTCCCTGCTGCCTAAGCAGCCAATCCTCCTATGCAGAGTGCCTACTGCACTGCTGACCAAGCTTTCCCTGTGGTCTTGGTTGTTCCTCACTCCTGCTAGGCCTTAATAAGCTAATTTACTCACAGCCTGAGCACAGACCGTGTTGTGGCATTTGAGGAATCTTGGTCTATAATTACCTAATGGGCTGTAGCAATGCAAATATTCCTGGGAGATCCGATCTGAGAAAACAGTGCTGGGACTTTACTGAGAAAGTAACAAAGACAAAACATGGTCATTAAGGTCAAGTCAAGTGAGGTCTGTCCATTAACTTCCCCAGCGTAGGACACCAGCAGGCATCTTGTTATTTGGAAGCAGAACCAAAGAGGCGGTCCTGGAGAAGTCTCGAATTCACATTCAAAACCATGTAAGGGATTGTAATGACAAGCAAACTGTGCAAGGAGTGTCTGAATTAGTGGGAAGTTGTGCTGTGAGTGAAGTAATTAGCTAAGGTTGGAATGGTTTCTGTGCTATAAAGAAGAAGAGTTAGTTACTTGAATAAGGGTATTTCTTGATGCTTTCACATCCTGTTCTCAAATGCAGGTGATGGGCTAAATATTTAAAGATAAATTAATACCTTTTACAGAACTGATCTCATCCACAAACTCCAGCTTCGCTGGCTCATGTTTTCAGTATGCTTTTCCTCACAGGTCAAACTGAACATTTTTTCTCACTTTTATCTTGTCCAGTGAAATTTCTTGGCTGAAGTTTCCTCTTCTCTGGCAGCAGCAGAACTATTCTTAATGCTTGAACACAATGTGATGCCAGATTACAACTGATGGCAGATTCAGCCCACCCCACATATGTGCCTCACCCTGCCATGGGATGTGTAAATGGCAAGTGAAGCATTTTTTGGACCACCACAGTTTTCAGGCTACTGTGATATGGCAAGTTGTGTTTAGGGTTAGTGTGCTTTTGGATTTAAAACACTGTGCCATTAGCTCTGCCTCAGAGGTTTGGCAGACAATCAGCAACAGTACAGTTTCAGCCAACCAGATTTAATCTGTCACTGCATATGTGTCAGAGACCTAAAGGAGAACCTGCAGCTGCAAGAAAATCCTGTTTAAATTTGATTTAATTGTCATGTGTGAAAACTTTTTTTTTCCTGAAGTAAATGGATGTTTAATTTTTTTAGCTTCCTGCAGTTTGAAATTTTCCACCTATAGAACCATAGAATGGTTTGGGTTACAAGGGACCTTAAAGACCATCCAGTTCCAGACACCTTCCACTAGAGCAGGTTGCTTCAAGCCCTGTCCAGCCTGGCCTTGAAAACTGCCAGGAATGGGGCAACCACAGCTTCTCTGGGCACCCTGTTCCAACTAGCTCTGTAGAAATTTCCCTTGTGTGCATCCTGCCTTTGCTGTAGCAGTGCCAAATGTGTTTGTGACTTCTAGTCCATTTTCAGACTTTCTGCTGATTCTCACTTCTTTCTTTCTTAGGCCTTTTCATTTTCTTTGCTTGTCTGTTGTGCTCAGATTTGCCTGCTTTGAAGATCAATTTGAGCAATTCTCCTTTCAGTCTTGTGTCATTGTGCATAATTACACACATTGTTCTCCAGTCCTTGAGGAAAAACAGAAATATATTTTGATGTTCTAGTTTACTCTGTGACTGTTGCAGAGCAAAACGCTAACTGGAAGTCAACTCTTCAAAACATTTCAAGGTTATTGAATAACTTTGCGTTCGAGATGTTATTAATTAGTGCTGCCCTTGTTGCTCAAGTGGATCATCAAATGCAAGGCCTTGCACAGATTTTTTTTTCTACTAGAATAAAAATTGCTGATACAGATTAGGTGTGTTCTTAGTTCTTAGTCTAAGCTTGTGTTGTTAAAACAGTCCTGCATAAATCCTCTTTCTGTGTAGGCAGAAGCACCAAAACTGGTAGCAAATTTAATCACCTGCAAAAGTGGGTGGGTGTGACCCTAGGACCTGGACCCAGAAAGGACCAGCTTCTTCTCAAGATCACACCCATAAGTGTTTCCTTAGCTTTCCTGTTGTTAGTGTTCATAGCTGATGGGCCATACACCATCCTCTTTCTTTTGAACCTCTAAAACCTTTCTGAATTTATCTTCCTTAGCTCTGGCTATGCACATTCCTATTCAACTGAAAACAGACCCTGACTGAGGGGCTATTCCAGCTAATCTTCTCCAGGAGATAGTCTAAATCTTCTGATGCTTTGTATTCAAAACAGCATGGAGAAGACACTATTTGAGATGAACTTAGTCATTTTATAATGACAAATTAATATTATTCAAAATCCTCCCTTTGTACCCACAGTTCTTTTGATAAATCTTGTGTTGGAGAGGCCTTATGTTGGGACCTCCAAATCTTATGTTCGAGTTACAAAAATAATCAATGTACCTTTTGATAAACATTCCAGAAAGGACAAAAAATGCAGTCTGTGGCTCTTACGTGAATCCAAAAGCTGCCACTGGAAAGACAACCTTTTAATCAGGCTTTTACAGGCTTTTATGACTGGCAGTCTTTTCAATCCTTCACAGCAAAATTAAAGCAAGCGTTCGAGCCCTTCATGAGACAATAGAATAGTTGGCAGATCCCAAAAATTTCATCAGATCAGAATAATGAAACACACACAGTCAGTAAGGCTGTGCTGGCATGGGTGGTTCAAAGCAGAAAGCAAACCATGGGGAGGAAAATAAGCAGCAAATATAAAGAGAAATTAGGCATTCACAAAGTGTCACATCTCTGAGATTACTGATCTTCTAATTTTGGGGCTTACAGAAAAAATGCAGATAGGGAAAAAAAAATCCAAGTGGTTCCAAAAACATCATGATCATTTTTTTTTCCAGCTGTCAAATTAACCCAGCTGCAAAAATGGCAACAGCCTAAGTGTGGAAAGAGTAGGAACCAAAATCCAATTTTAAAGTTCTTGGAAGATAATGAGTACCTTTTTTTTTTTGCGTCATAGAAACCAACTCAGCCTTTTCTTGCTGTGTAGAGGCAGCCTGAAAATTGCCTGAAGATGGCAGAGCCCTGCTGAACAAGGCCAGCTCTCGCAAGCACGTCACTTGCCTTTGATTCTCACCCTCAGTGTGAGTCAGATAAACAGCAGTGGGCAGAACTGTAACAAGGTTGAATACATCCTGGATAAAATATCAAGGTGCTGACCCTTCTCAGGAGTAGAATATGCCAATACTCTCTGGCTTTAATATATGTGATGGAGAGCAGTGTAAGTATGTGCCAAGAGACATGCTTGCGAGCAGGAAGAGCTGCGCTTCATTACGTGGTGATGTTTGTGTGTGTAGGGCTGCTGCTCACCACATGCCAGATCTCCTGAAAACAATAGTGCAGCTTTGCCACTCTCTTTACATGTTTGTGCTGTGAAGCTCTCTTCTCATTCCTGGAGACCTGAGGCAGGTGTCTCCTGTGAGCCACTTCTGCAGTGGTCCTTCAGTAAGTGATCCAGAGTTTTGAAGGATGCTGACTATCTGATTAAATTGTTAGAGAAGGCCCAGCTGCTACTTACTACAGTCATGGCTGTTCTCAATCACTGTCGTTTTCCTAGGAAGTCAGGTTTATTGTAGCAAAATCTGGGAGACCTTTCCTTGTGGTCAGAATTAAAGCACTCATTTTGGATAAGCTTTCAGCCTTTTATCTTGCTTACATTTAACACTACCTGGCCAAACAGGACAGCTTGGTGACTTCAAAGCCAATTTTCCCCTGGATGAAACTCCAAAGAACCACCCTTAAGTATGTGTTTTATACCTAATTATATCTACCCCATTCGCTCAAGCATTTCCCATGTTTTGTTAACTGCAGTGTCCCCTGCAGGCCCTGAGGCATGTGACTTTGAATTTGGCCCAGCTTTGATGGGGGAACTGAAGGAACCTGCCTCCAGAGGTCCTTCCAAACTAAATTATCCTATGACTAGGATTCTTACCTGCTGAAAAATCACTCAGTTGCATTTCTGTCACTTTTACTTCATCAGTTATGACCTCACCAGTGAAATTATCCTCTTATTCCATCTTAACCTTGCACTTGCTCATTGACACAAATTTCAGTCAACAAGGTGAGCTTAAGAAAAATACCATGGTAGTGTTTTCTTTGCTAATCAGCAAATAAGATCATCATGACTTTCACAGATAATTGGGTTCCTTATGAATATTAATATGTGTTCAATAATTAATTTACATCAAGCAGTCTTCTCAGATTGAAACTTTCCTGCTTGTATTTCTGCAGAGCTTTTAAAGGACCATGAGAAAAACTCTCCAGTTAAGCAACAGAAGCAACAATAAAGTGCCTGCTAAATTTAACAGGTTTTGGATTATATTGTGAACAAAAAATGCAAGAAAATGATGCAATACAGAACAAGTCATAGGTAATTTCACAGCTAAATACCAATCTTGAGCTGTTGCTGGAAGAAACAATGAATTTTTGTATCTGCCAAATTTACTACATAAAATTAATGTAATTAGCATTTTTAACTATCCCTTGCTAAAGTTCTTGCTAGGTAGCTCTAAGGAGCTAAAAGGAGCTGGTCTTATCTGCAGCTTTATAATAAGGCTTTCATGAACAAAAAAAAGGCTAGGGAACAAGTGAAAAAGGAGACATTTTTGCAGTTGTTCATAAAAGGTTATCTAGATAATCTATAATTATCTAGTTACAAGACTTTATTAATGGGAGCTTTACTGTATCTCCTGTGTTCTAACCATTTACACTTCTGATTCTGCACATACTGAGGTGTAATTCTCCTCTTGGGCAGAACTCCTGTGAGATAGGATGAAAGTCATCAGCACTTTCAAAGGACAGCCAGGAGGTGACCATTTCCCTAAATGGCGAGGGTAATTACCCAGGCCCAGGTAAGGCTCCCAGGATGTAGGACACCAAAGTCCAGGTGCCATTATTCTGGAGAAGGTTTAAGTCCAGAGCTCCCTTCTCTTTCCTGCCACTTTGCCCAACTGCTGCAGGATATTCTGGTCCCCTCTGGAAGTCCTGCTTTGTATGGTATACCTGAATATTCAGCAGGGCAAGGAAAGCAAATGAGTGTGATACTACATTATGATCATTAGAGCAGTCAAAAAGTGGGTGTTGTGCTCAACTCTTATTAGTATTTAAGCATTTTATGGAAAACAGAATTTAGAACTTCTCCCCTGAATAGCTGGGTGATTACAGCCCTTTCCTAGCCATTTCCAGTGTCCTGGCATAATAACTGGTGAAGAATTAGATGTAGGTGAATGCCTCACTTCTGAGCTACTATGGAAAAGAGGCAGACTCTTTTTCAGCAACAGCTGTAGGGAATCACATGTCAGCATAAAAATTCATCACCTGAATCTCAGTGGGGTTTCTGTCTAAATTCAAAGTGTATGGGTGCTGTAATGACAAAGATGTTGGTGTCAAGGCATGACAAAACATCTTCAGGTTTTGGCAACATCCCAGTAGCTGCCACTAGTATTCTCTGTTTTTAAAAAGGCACTTATTTGTTTATTACAACTGATAGGATCTGTATTTTGGTCAAAAGCACCTAAATTTACATATAATCACTTGAATCCCAGTTGTGCAACTTCAACATTCTGTAATGTCTTAAAAGGTTGAATTGAGTTCTAATAAATTGATTAATCATTTAATAGTAATAATTTCTCAGATCCTTCTCAAAAGAGAAATTAGGAACCTCAATAAAGAAGGATTCGTAAGTTAAGAAATACACAAAGGTCACATTTGCACAACTCTGAAGTATTGAAGCTTCCTAAAAAAAAAACAACCCAACCTCAAACTTAAATAAAGAACTTTTTTGAGTGTACCTGAGGTAACTTAGGTTTTTTTTTCTTCTTAAACCAACACATTCAACATGTGGAAATCTTTAGTCCAGTCTGTACTACCTGGCATAACTAGTGTCAAATCTGGGAGCTAGAAGTACAACACATCTGCCTCTGATACCACATTTCAGTAGTACTAATTATATATACTATACAGCAGTGCAGCTGTGTAGTCATACTGTCCTGTTACTAAAATTCCTTTTTTCTCCCTTGTAATTCTATGAAAGAACCACAAAACCACACATTAATTATCCAAGAAACCTGAAGATAAGTCATGAACAATCAAAGGCAGTTCTTGGCTAGGAGATGTTTGTTGACACACAAACATACAAAGAGCAGAAAGGGAGTGAAAAGAAGAAAATCATCTCTTTAGCCAGCCAGGACAGCACTGATGGTTTGCTCATCCCTACAGTTTTTTATTCACAGGAATGAATTCCTGGGAAGGTTGGAGCGTAGCAAAGAGATGCCTGGTGAATAGCTTTGGGAATAATATTGTAAGTACACTTCTGCCAAATGGTATCAGCAGTAAGAGAGAGCTAAATTTAAATATCAAAGCCATTAAAATTGACACACACACTGGCTGCTGGCCAGAGAGCTAGCGAAAGCTGTGTTGTTGGGTTTGTTTTTTAATGAGTTCCTTTTTTGGATCTCAGTGAGCTTGGTAGCAAGCTGTCTGTCAGGATGTAGCACTATGGAGGCAGTGAGATGCAAAACCCATGTGTGGAAGATCAGCAGTAGATAAGTGTTTTAAATGTAGGTGGCACAGAGGTGGTCATTACATCCACCTCAGCAGAAGAGGTCACCCAAGGACAGAGAACTGAGGGTGGAGGGGAAGGGGCAGCAGGAAATTTTGAGGGAGCTGCTCTTTGAGGTGGGAGGCAAAGCTCTGGGAGGAGATGGTTGAAAGTCCAGACTGAGAGAAAGGAGCATTGAAAAGTTGTAACACCCAGTGTGACAAGGTATCAAAGGACAAACATTAAATAGCAGTGTCAAGGCCAACAGATCCATCAGAGGATGAGGATGATGTGCAGGCTCTCTTGGATAGGAAGTAGACTTTCAGTGATATTACTAGAAGGATATCTGTGGATAGATGAGACTGAAACATACATTACAGATCCACCTGTTTTATTTCCTTATTGCCACCACACTCTGTTTCTTCATCCCATTCTTTTTTGTAGTAATCTTAGGCAGCCAGAGCTCTAGGATAAGGTGTTCCTGTTTTATTCGTTTGAATAGCACCAAAGGCCAGAGGTGTAAAGGGACACATAGTGGGCCAGGAAGATGCTTTCTTTTTCGTAGGAAAAGATAAATCAGTGGGGTAACTGAAGGGTTAAGGCCCTGAACAGAGGAAGAGGGAAGAAATGGCATAGTCAGCAACATGGAAATGGAGAAAACAAAAGCCATTGATTATCATATTGAGGTTAGTGAGCCCAATTACCATTTGTTATCTTTGCTGGGTTTATTTGTGAAACCTGTAACATTACTACAGAAAGCTGCATGTTAATTTAAAAGAAATCAAGAAGCACAGATAGTATCTTTTATTGCTAAAATCAAAGCAGTCACTTACTGGCTCATGTTGATAAGGCCTTGCTGGAGCAGGATGGCACCTTATCCACAGACAGCAAGCTGAAGAAACCTCTAAAGGAGCCACTCCCTTAAGCATGCCTTGCTATGTCTTAGTTTATTTTGTTTGCATCTCATTTTCTAAGCACTTCTTAATTGATTAACGTCTTTCTAAAGATATTAGGGTATAGCTAATACTGGCTATGCAAATTCATTTAATCAAGGTACGACCTGAAGATCATCTGCAATACACTGAATTTAAGTCAGGTTTCGTAGCCCTGCCTTTCCCTGCTTGCACTCCTGCAAAGCTAAATTCAGCAGTAGGGAAGGACAGAGGGCAAAATGATTTCTAGGAACTTCTCATATATTTCCTACCAGGGTGCAGCGCATTTTTGTCTCGCAGCTTTTGTCTCCTTCCTTAGGGCCGGCATCTCAAGAAACATCAGCAAGTACCAAACTGTTCAGGCAAGAAGAGTCAGACAGGAACCCATACCAATAATACTGCTGAGAGACCTTGAACCTTCACCTGACTTAATTCTCAGTACTCTCTGCTGCAAAATGGGCATAATTATACTAATCTGCTTTGCAAAACTGCAGTGTTTTCATTAGCTAATAAGCCTCAAGTGTTTGGAGGTAACTCTTGGCTCACATAAAAGGAGAGAACGTATATAAAAAGAGAACACAAAGGCAATAAAGATCTCAGAAGATCTCTTCAGAACGAGAAGTTGCTCTCAAATTAAATGGGTGAGGCTTGTTTACAAAGATATTGATGGTATGAAAGACTGACACCCAGTCTTCTCTTTGTGCCTCGCCGGAGCTCGTGCGGATTCAGGAGCTCCAGGATTCAGGAACAAGCCAGCAGGTGGCTGTAGATGCCAGCAGCTGCCCTGACATGGCAGCCGTTCACCCTGCCAGAGGAGACCCGGAGCAGGCTTACTGAAGTGGTTAACACCAGGTACCTTTACCAGTAGCCTTGGGTCAGAGTCTGATCCTTAGTTATCTATGCCCTAAATAGGCTCAGCCAAAATCAATTTCCCCTATTCCCATTCCATGCAGTGTTTTGAATCATAGAATCAACTAGGTTGGAAAAGACCTTTAAGATCAAGTCCAACTATTACCCCAGGATTGCTAAAACCACCACGAAACCATGTCACTGAGGGCCTCATCTGCACAGAACATTTGTGAACATTTCCAGGGATGGTGATTCCAGCACTGCCCTGGGCAGCCTGTTCCAATGCCTGAACACCCTTTCAGCGAAGAAATTTTTCCTACTATCCAATCTAAACATCCCCTGGCACAGCTTGAGGCCTTTTCTGCTTGTCCTGTTGCTTGTTACTTGGGAGAAGAGATCAGATGCTTCCTCACTCCGTTCTCCATCCTGAGTGGTTTGAAGTCCAATCCACTCACACCAGGGAATTTCTACTTCAGAATTGCCTACTACCAAGTAAATGGTTGTTACGCACCAAGTAAAAGGCCATGGCAAATAATACTTATGTTTACAAAGGTCTTTCCCAACCCAAAGAGACAGTATACATGAATTCCTAACTAACCTGAACTCATTCACTTACACCACCCTTTAGTAGTCTAATCTTGGCAGGCTCTGGATCAGAAATGTGGATCCTGCACTCTACCAACCACACTTGCCTTGTTACGGCAATTGGGATTTCAAGGAGAAGTGAAGTAGCTTGCAAAGCATTCTTTCCAGTCTTGCAGAGTGGGTGTCAAAAGTCAGGATTCTTGCAGATTTTCCTTAGAAAGTGATTGGGCAAGATTTTGCATTGGTGTGCCCGTTGGACTCCGTGCGCTGGGATTTCACAACAAAGTAGTGCTTTGGGGGGGTCTGTCTGCCAAGAACTCTCCTGTCAAAGGGTGAAGAAATCACCAGGACCAGTGGAGGCATTAGAGGAGGGAACAGACTGGAGCTTTCCATAGCTGCACAAACCAGCACTAAACTAAGAGAATTACACAAGCATTGCACAAGGGAGGCTTCATTGAAGTGTTGCCTCTGGCTCACATTCCTTTTAAGCTGTTATAAAACTTTAAATATAATTAATAAATAACCAGGCCTCTCAAGCAGAGATGAGTCCAAAGCTCTGCCCCCTGCATGAACCGAGTTTGTTATTTCAGCTCTTGATATAAAAGTACAGCCTATCACCATGAGACTCTCAGCTGTAGGCTTGCCTGTTGAGAGGTCAGCCAGACTGGCCAGGCTGCACTACTGCTGCTGCAGAGGAAACATAAACCCAGGCAGCTTGAACAGGTGGGGAGGGCTAAATCAGAGACCAAATTGCAAGGCAGGATGAAGGTACCTCCTGCAAACTGCTGTTTGGATACAGGGTGAAGAAGGATATATCTTCACTGGAATGGGTTGCCCAAGGAAGTTGTGAATGCTCCAGCCCTGGCAGTGTTCAAGGCCAGGCTGGACAGAGCCTTGGGTGACATGGTTTAGTGTGAGGTGTCCCTCCCCATGGCAGGGGGGTTGGAATTAAATGATCTTAAGGTCCTTTCCAACCCTAACTATTCTATGATTCTGAGATTCACCAGTAGAGGTGTGCTTTCTTCCTGATCTTCCTTCCCCTTGCAACATCAGCAGTGGCTGAAAGCTCTGTGCCCACAGGCCTGGGAGATCAGTGTGGTACTTGCAGCCTTCACCTCAGTGTCCTGTAGCAACAGGAAGGAGGCCCAGGGTGGCCAAGGAAAGGCCAAGGAGTCACTGCAGTGAAGGAAGACCCCGTCAACTCTGAGCTGCCTGGCAGAAAGGAGTCTTCACCTCTCCCACTGTGTCCTCCAGACATTCTTGAAGGGAAAACTCTTTGACAATAGTCTTCCCCCTCTTTCTTCCATTTATCAGCCTTTAAAGCTATTGGTTGGCTCTAATTTTAAAACATTCTCAAAGAAATTTTCTTAGAACCATGTTAGTGTTACAGTTTGGTATTTTTATCCCCTCACATGCATTTCTAAACTATGAGACATCTGTTCTCTGAGACACTGGTTGCAATTCATTTATTGGTATGACCTGGATTATGGTGTCTCCCTTTGGCTACTGCTGTGAAATATGAATCTCAAGTTTAAGAACCACTTTTCTCAAGTAACAGGCTGTTTAATGGGAGTGTCTGGGCCAGACTGGTCGTGGTTAAAGAGGTATGAGTAGGCACAAATACATGAGAGTCAATATATTGTTTCTCTTTGCTAATTAGGACTGCTAGTAATTAATCTTCACTGATTTCAGTTGGGAATTTATCGGGTTTTTTATGTTTCTAAAAATCAGATCACTTTTATCTGAGGGTATAAATAATGGATTTGAGAGCTCAGCTTCTGACAGCTTTGAAAACATTAGCTATGGTTGCTGGTCTGTAGCTGAGACAACATTGACTCAACAATTCCCAGAGCTGGGAAAATCTCTGTGGGTGTCAAATACCACACAGAAGGTTAAGGAATGAATATCATAACTGCATGCTTTATATTGCAGTATTTTTCCTGGTTATTGCAGACTAACAAATTCAAACCATGAGACAAAATAAGAACCAAGTATCAAATATTCAGCAGCCAGATGCTTGCAGGTAGGGATGAAGAACAGGAATATTACTATAGCTTTATAAAATGTTTGGCTGCTATGAAGTAATAATACCAGGTGTTGTTTAGATTTGTAAATTAATGATGCATGACAAATTGCAGCTCAAAACTGACCCAAAGAGTGCATTAAAATTAACTGCAAAACGTTTTCCAGGATTATCACAGAAGATAAAGCCCACAGAGTACATTAGGTGGCTCTTTTGTGACCTCCGGTTGATGATCCATGATTTCAAGACTAACTCTTGTAGCAATATGTTCTTTTAATAAATTAATTTAATATTTAACAGTGTGTAAAATGATGAAAGGCACCTTATAATCTCCTAAGAACCTGCTTGCAAACCTTGGCTTTAGCTTTGGAAATGTGAGGATACTAAAATTTCCAATTTTACCTAAGAAGACAGGTACAGTAAAAGTCAAGAAGACTAGATGAAGAACAGTCAGAAACAGTAAGTAGGTTTTATACCAGGGATGATGGTGTAGTTACTCAGCTAATAGACTAAGTTATCATGAGACAGTAGACTTGGTCGTTGCAGATTTTCCTTGTCTTCATTACAGATGTGAGTTAAGTGTCATTGTTGACTCATATCCTGCATCCAGTGAGCAGGCTGGGGGTACACAAGGAGTTGGGAGGGGACACAACTGACACAGCTGACCCCAACTGACCCAAGGGATATTCCATACCATGTGGCATCATGCTCAGCATATAGAGCTGGGGAGAGAAGAAAGAAGGGGAGGATGTTTGGAATGACTGCATTTGTCTTCCCAAGTAAGCATTACACATGATGCAGCACAGCTGGCCTGGAGATGGCTGAACACTTCACTGCTGATGGCAAGTAGAGAATGAATTCCTTGTGTTGCTTTGCTTGTGTGCAGGACTTTTGCTTTACCTAATAAACTGCCTTTATCTCAGCCCATGCTTTTAGTAATTTTTTTACTCTTTTATAATTTTTTTTTACTCTTTTACTCATCTGATTTTCTCTCTTATCCCACAAGAGGGGCAGTGAGTGAGTGGCTGTGTGGGGCTGAGTTGCCAACTGGGGTTAAATCACAGCAATAGTCCACACGGATTATTGTTCTCTTGGTCTTTTTGCATTCTCTGTAATTTTGTATCTTAAAAGGAAACACCATTAAACAGCAATCTGCAGGGAATTGAGCCTGATCAGGGAATTGAGACACAAGCATTTTCTTCCCACTACTCCCACTGACTTCTTGGCTGGCAGAGTGTGTCCTTCACTTCTCTGTCTATGAGCTTCCCAGTTGTTTTATAGAACTGTAAAATGGTTTAGTTTAGAAGGGACCTTAAAGACCATCCAGTTCCAACCGCCAGCCATGGGCAGGGACACCTTCCACTAGACCAGGTTGCTCAAAACCCCATCCAACCTGGCCTTGGAGCACTGCCAGCGATGAAGCAGCCACAGCTTCTCTGGACAAGCTGTGCCAGTGCCTCACCACCCTTATGATAAAGAACTTCCTTATATCTAATCAAAATCTCCCTTCTTTCAGTTTTAAGCCATTTTCCCTTGTCCTGTCACTCTTGTAAAAAGTCCTTCTCCAGCTTTCTTGCAGGCCCCCTTTAGGTACCCAGAACCTTCTCTTCTCCAGAGCCTTCTCCACCCCAACTCTCCCAGCCTGTCTTTACAGCCCTTTGATGCATAGCAGCATTTAAGCTGAGCCGTAGATGGAGGTGACCTACTGGCTGGAGTGGCTGGAATTCCTTTGTTTTGCTCTTCAGGTGCTCTCCTGCTGATCTGCTATCCCTCTCCAGGCACTGGCATCAAATTGGTAGGAGTGGGATGCTTTGAGGTTCCCTTCTCCTGGCAACTTAAGTTGAAAGCCCTCTTCAGCAGCTTGCAAGCCTGTGAGCAAAGATGCTCTTCCCCTTCTCTGACAGATGGTCTTGTCGCATTGATTTCCATTTAAGTGTTCTTTACGATCTGAGCGTATCAGTGGAAAACACTTCATAAGAGCAAGATCTTATCACTTGATGACTCCTGATATCATTCATGTGTTTTAACTTTGGTGTCTCTCCAAGCAGGTGTTTTATCTGTTTTATGAACAACCTTCATGATTAGAATTAATTCACTATTTGCATGTCACTCATTACAAAAAAAAAAACCCTATGGAGTTAATATTCATACAGATACTACTATAAAACCAAGGAAGTCTTTTAAATCATCACAGACATCAATACTGAGTTGTACTACAGATCTATAGGTATTCTGCCTGCTCAGACATAGAAATGTACTGCATGACAAAGGCTTCTTCCCCCCTTACAAAGAAGAAATAATATAATAAAATGTGAATAGGTTATCCACCTTATGTTATACCTGGTATCAAAAAAAGCAGATGATGTAACCTCGGGCATTTTCACTCACACCTCAGCTGTTGATCAGTACCAAACACAGAAGACTGGCTTTGATACATCAGGAAGCTGAGCCAATGCTGCAGTCTTTTATGAGAGCACCTCATCTCACTGGCTAATTAGAGACACTCGAAATTGGATTCAGTCTGAAGGCCAACAGCAGCTGGTGTATTCAAACCTGTATGAAGCAGCTCTCATGTACATAACTGCCACAACTGAGAACTGCCGCACTCCATAGCAAAATGAGTCTCTGAGGTGTGAGTGCTTTTTGAGCTGGTGCAGCAATGTGCTGGTTTAGGGGAGCCTCTGACGGTTACTGGGAGCAATAAAAAAAAGAGTAATGGCAATTTATGCAGAAAAAAGCATGACAATGAGACTTCAGTCCTTACAAGAGAGTGTTTTGCTCTGTAGCTACTCAGCAAATCCATTTCTCTTCTTGCACCTTGTAGGTTGGGACAAATTGTCAGCGTGCCTTTGGTATGAGGATGTCTTCTAGAAAAACAAAGAAATACTTTTTGTGTTCCTTCCACCCTCCTTCAGTGTCCATCCCGCCTGTGCAGTGTTACTGTGTAATCTTGTCTACTGCTGGTTATTCAGGTAATGTGGATATTTACAGTTTGTCATTACAGATGTATGAGATTAGATATTATAAAGACATAATTTCTCTTACACTATCAAACACTGATTTGTAGCAGCCTTATTGTTTTCCACAGCTGATTAGCCTTTGATGAGATGTGGTAGCAGTGCTGGCTTACACAACCTACCTGAATCCTCTTGCCTTTGCTTTGAGATTTGCCTGTGTTGTTGAGAGCAGAATTAGGCCAATTATTTATTAGCTTTCTAAATACAGTGTAGCTTCTCATGTCTTGGAACCGAAAGAAACAGCGCAAGAAGATGTGAGATTTCTAAATCATTCAGATTTGCTCAAAGGCAAATTAATTTCTTTTAATTTGGGCTTGGGTTACTACTAGCTTTTGGTTTTTCTATCAGCTCAAAACACTGACTACTCCTGTGATACCATGTCTCTGTGAATGAAAAGGCTAAAAATTCACTAGTGTAACTGTGCTTGTAGTTAAGGGCATGTATAAAGTCATTTACCTCAAAATATCTTTAGCCACTTTTATATTTATATCTATCTTAGAATGCAGCCGTTGTAACTATTAAGATATATGTACGAGTTCATAGTGAAGAACTGTGTGAAGAGTATAATTATGTGTTCATCATTAACCCAGATCTTAACTCTAAGGAAAAAAGATTCCTTATATAAGAAATAGAGGAACAAAAAAGACTATTTGGTCTATTCTATTAAAGCTCAATGCATTCAGAAAACATTTCCCTGCGGTCAGAATCTAATTGCTTTCTGAATAACCATTATGTATTCGCCTTTGCCCACTGGGCCATTCCTAACATGACATTCTTTAAAGTGGAAAAAATGACATCCAGCTGTCTGGTTTGAATTTGTTTTTTGCTAGCATATACCAGTATTTCATCCAAGAAGCTGAATTAGAAGAAAATTGAGTAACAAATGCAGTAACTGAAGCTAAGTGTAAGAATTAACACTTGCCATGTTACCTTATACTCTTTCTGTGAGTCATGATGCAGGATTTCATTGCATGACCACATGCTGTATTTCCCATGATGCTTGCTTTGTTCAGTGCAAAAGAGGGATGATGTCTGCTGAATGATCAGCTTAAACAGTTTTACTGTGCAGCTTCAGACCGTGTTCCAGTGTGTTCTGTTCAATACTACATTGAAGTCACAAATGTTCTTTTCCCCACAGGCTCCTATGTGGTCCTCAAAACTATTGCTAGTATTATTGAATCAATTTTCAAACCTTTCTGGAAATGTGTAATTCATTGCTTTACTAAGGCAGAGCTGAAGCTTAGATAAATGAATATCAAAGATTTCCAGTTGTTTTGGATTTCCACTCTGAGGCCATGAAAAAAAAGAAGTTTCTTTGCATTACTTTCCATCTGCTGTAGCTAACATATCACCATGGACAGAAACTAGAGATGAGCTGAAAAGTGGTAAATAGTCCTTCCAGTACGGCCCCACCACAGCTGCTTTTCTTTACATAGTCCCATTCTGTCTGAACCCTTCCATCTGCCATCCTAGTCACATAAACACTATTTTCCTTGACTGACACGGCCAAGCCATCCCACTGGTGTTTTGAACTTCCTTCTGCTCAGTCTCCTCTAATTCAACATCTAAGGATATGTCTGAAGTAATTGCCAGGAAAAACTATGCTGCTAACAGTGTAGGGAAGGGCAGTATCCCCGTATCAAGACTGCAGTTGTGGCAGTCTGAAGATCATAGAATCATAGAATCATAGAACAGTTAGGGTTGGAAAGGACCTTAAGATCATTTAGTTCCAACCCCCCTGCCGTGGGCAGGGACACCTCACACTAAACCATATCACCATATCGCCTTGTCCAACCTGGCCTTGAACACTGCCAGGGATAGAGCATTCACAACTTCCCTGGGCAACCTATTCCAGCTCCTCACCATGCTAACAGGAAAGAATTTCCTTCTTATATCCAACCTAAACTTCATGGTAGCTGGTATGATTTGTATGGGAGGCATGAGAAAGACATGAAGCAGCAGCAGAAATAGCAAGTGTAAAGTGAAGAAGTGACTAGTGGTGTAGTCAGGCCAGGAGCGGTGCTGGAAGAAGCCAAGAACTGCAGTGTTTGGTTTGATTTGGTTTTGTACCCTTAGTCTAAGGCTCAATGAAATAGAGGAGAGCGGGTATGCAGGTAATAACAGCAGCAATCACAATGGTATGCAGATATAGCAGTAACTGTGTTGTGACCCTTGAACCGCACACAGCTTTCCAGCAGCTCCTGTGTGACTCCTGCTACGCAGTGGCTAGGGGCAGCACAGCCTCTTTGACCTCATCTGTGGGAGGAAGTAAGCCTTCAGCTCCTGAGGGTGGTATCACCAAATCATCAGGGGGACCTGGGTACATGACAGGTTGGTCTCTCAAGGAAGGGGTGAGGTCCTTGGAACCTCTGTTTTCTTTTCCAAGCAAAATCTGTTGGAGTTCCCCAACCTTCATCTTACAGTAGTGTCTTCATATCGCTGATGGAGACAATTTCTCAACAGACACCTGAGTGGGATCAGGAAGTTTGGGTTCCCTGGAGCTGGATGGAAGACAGGCTGTGGTGGAGGTGGCTGTGTTTTTCATTTTCACTCCTGAATGTCCAACCATTGTACCCAATCTGATAGCTGCTGAGGTCATTTGTTTTTCATCTCCCTGTATGTTCTAAGGCTGTGGCTCCCTACTTGCAAGTAGAACCTGTGCCCTGTTGGATGAGACTAGCGTGTGGGCTCTGAGCGTGCTTCTGTTCACCTCGCAAAGGCTCCCTGGAAGAGGTTTAGGCTGGTTTTGGCCAGCTACAGGAGAAGAGACAGCGCACAATGCAACATACGCAATGCAACATGCTGGTTATCCCTGACACATTCATCTGCAAATGTGTTTGATAAAAAAGAACTGTCAAAGTGAGGGAGTTCTATTGAACCAGAGCATGTCATGATATGTGCA